TTTTGTAAGTACGGCTCTTCAATACTCTACTAAACATTTTTTTGAGTATAGTCTAGTACGGCTTTTCATACTCTACTAAACATACTCTTTGAGTTCAGTACCTGACCTCTGTACTCTACTCAGGTGAGTAGAGTATTCACCTCTCTCATACTCTACTCTACTCAGCCGTTAGTACAGGTTCTCCATACTCTACTAAACATACTATACTACTCTAAACATTCCCGTGAAAGCTACCACTTTACACCATTGGATTTCGGTGACAGTTTTTTTTTCGGCGGGCATTTATTTTTTTTTGCGATGTGTTTTTTTTTGGAATTCGGCGTTTTCGGTGGTTATTTGGCGGGGTAAAAGCGGTAACCGACATGGATGGGGAGCTGGGGGAGATTGTAGGAGTTTGAGGTTGTTGGCCTGTCCATTTTTTTTTTTCAGGTCGGACACCAGGAGGAACAGATGATGGTAGCGAGTCAGCCCTATTACCCAAACACGTCGGAGAGAAAAGAGAGCTCCGCGGAAGGTAACCCGAGTCAACGATACGCAGGTGTATAGGGCGGGTGCTGCTGCTGTAGCTAGGAGCGTTCAGAGCACGTAGCGGACGAAGGGCCCGTGTTTCTTGTAGTTTGCACAGAAAAGACCCAGCTTTCTCACGAGGGAGTCCCCAAAAAGGAGCAGGTGCTTGCTGTCGTCCAGCGAGCAGGGCGGCGGAGAAACCGGCGCAGCGATGGCGGAGGTATTCAGCAGCAACTCGCCCTGCATGCTGGGGAAGCGCGTCCTGAGTCCCCACTCGCACGGCACCTTGATGGGGGGCCAGCTAGACTTTTCATCCAAGAAGCGAAGACTCGCTCAAGGCCTCGATCAAGGTGAGATTCGGTCGGTCGCTCGCTCAAACGTGTGCTCTTTCTGACTCTCGCGTTGTAGCCTCGGTGTTCCCGTTGCGAACCTCTCCATTTCACAGGTAGACCCTTTGATCCTTCCCCACAGCTGTAGGCCGGGCTTACTTCCTTCTCCCGGGGCTCATCGCAAAAGCCTGTCAGGCATATGATGGTACACGAACGAACGTGCTCACTCCCATTCTGTTTTACTTGTTTTTAAAGCAACAACAACCGACGACGTATACACTTCTGTTTTTTGGTACGACACGCTTCCGACCAGCTCTTATGTCCTTTCCGCTCACGCTTATTTTTATGCGTGTACACACCACCGTCCTAAGCAGGCTCGTTCGACCGGAGCGAATCCTACCAGCAGCAGCAGCAGCAGCAGCAGCAGCAGCAGCGGTCCCCGTCGCCGGTGCGGACGGGCAAGCGCGCGCGCCCGCTCTCGCCCCTGCAGCCGTCTGCCCACTTCCCTTCAGGAGGACCAGCAGCAGGGGAGCCGGCCTCCTCCCATGGTGGCTCCGGATTTTTTGGCGGCGACTCCTTTTCGCAGCACCAGCACCAGCACCAGCAGAGAGCCCACAGGACGGGAGCAGAGGACGGCGAGCTGGCAGCTCTACGGCGCGAGGTCAGTTTGCGTCGGCCCCACTTATTGCTCCGTGTTGATATTGATCTGTGTGTGTCGCGTTTGGACAACCGATCGGGCACACGCACAAGGGAGGCGCCTGGTGTTTTTACCTCCAGTGCGCGACACCCATGCTACACCGCCCCGGTGGTCTAGTGGGTAGCCTCGCAGCCTGCTAAGGGCCAGGTCATGGGTTCGAGTCCCGGCAGGGAGAGTTTTTTTCTCACTAAATAAATCCTGGTCTAGGATGAAAGCGACGCGCTGCAAAGCTCGTTTGTTAGTAAACCATAATCGACTTCGTAAGTCGCGAGGGAAGGGATTGCTGTACCCTTCTCGCGATAAAAATACCTCAGGCATGAACCGCAGGAGGGGGTCCAACCCCCCCCTCCTATGTGACCCCGGTTGGGTCGTCTAGCCAGTAGAAGTGGAGGATAGGGGCCAGAGGGGCAGACGGCAGAGTCCAATGATGGGAGAGAAACAAAAACAACAAAAACCCATCATCTCCTACACGCTGTGTTACCGTACATTTGGGCTGGAACAAGTTGCAGGCTTCGGGTAGTTACTCAAAGGCGGTAGGGATCGGTGCGCGTGGTAAAGGCTGGGCACACACATCAACCTGTGGGGATTTGTGTTTGTTCTACCTCGTTATATGAATATAATTCCCTGACCAGAGCAAGTCCACAACACGGATACATGGATACTGACATATGGCGGTAATCCAATTGCATGCGCCTTCTGTACCCAAGTCTGTCTCGTCTCTGCGTATGCATTGGACGAAGCAGGACACGGGGGAACGCATAGATGCACGCAGCAGACATGCCGACGATCGATGGTGTCCGGACGTGTTGCTGGTGTATTTACCCATGATGTGATGTGTTGTGTTGTATAATAGGTTAATTTGCGCCCGTATCTCCTTCCGAGATGAAGTTTTGTAGATATACCCGCCTCTGTTGTGCCGTGGGGTGCGCTTCCGAACCACTGGGGGTCCGGGATACCCGTGGTATTACAGCAGGTCCGCGAGGGAATTCGGTTCCGTCCCAGGGCGAGCAGCACCTAGCCGTTCTGCGATGCTACTGTATGCATATACAGTGTGCTCTAAAGATCTCTCTGTTTCCAACCTACTGCTGCTGTAGTGTTCAACAACTGGAGCGGGTGGCTTAGCCGCGAACATTTACAAGTATTTGTAAACCCAAGCCCTTGACAACCAAGGGGCGAAACCATACCAAGTCGAATTACTTGCAGAGAGGTGAGTCACCCGACACCATATGAAAGCTCTTGCCTTTCTTTCAACTCATCGGAGGGTGCGCGCGGGCGTTTATCCGGTTACTCAAAGCGTGTTTATTTGCCACGTGTCTTCTCAGGTTTGTCGCCGACTAAATGCTGTTGATGCGCAACAACGCGCCCAAGTCGTTTGGATCCCGCGTCAATCGGCGTGAAACTGGATTGACGCGGAGATAAAACGCGTCTGTCCATGTTGTGTTGGTCGTGTGGTATAGTACCGGAGGTTGTGTGGTGTAGTAACGGAGTGTCGAAGAAGTGGCACCCCCGTGTTCGCGTTATCTTATAGCGTTTTTCTCCACAGCCAAGTACAACTGCAGAAAAGGGTAGTGTTGGAGTTGTCTCGTCGAGGGGCGAGGTGTCGGTTGGTGTCCCCACCCTCCCACGCATAGTTGTGGAGAAATACGCTACAGCAGTGTAAGAAAACATTTATCACGGGGGTGCCATCTTTCCTCCGGCTCTTGCGGATACATTGTTATAGTTCCTAGCACACGGAAGAATCGCGGTGCAACCATGGGCTAGGCATTTTGTTTCCTGTGCCGACAAATTCGGGTGGGGCGTCATCGAGAGCGCTCCCAGTGTTGTAGTACCACGATCGGCCATCGGGTGCCGCCTCGAGGTACCAACCTACCTGCCCCGAGTTGCTGCTAAATACCGGTGCCGGTGGATAGTGTGTGACTGGAAATACTACCGCTGTGCTATCGTGCCTCCGTTTCGTTGCTGACTTTCCGTTCCCGCACACGAAAGGCAAGCACCGCAGGGGGAAAAGTGGGACAAAAAACAAAAACAAAATATGAAGAAGCTACTGTGTGACGTTCCTCTCGTGACCCCGGCTGATATGTCAGGTATATACGCCGAAAGACCTGTAGACAGGCGCCAGAATAGATGGGACTACCACACTCACGTGTAGTTTGTGGAACTTATGGGTGTTACAAGTGTTTTCAACCGCACTGAGACTGACGTCTCTTCATCGGTCAGCCGGTTAGCGCGGTCGATGCTATAAATGCAGACACACATGCACATACAGCTGTGAGGTAGAGTAGAGTCTAGACACTGACGTCGCTTGCTGCTACAACCGGAACTGGTAGATCATGTGAAGGCTGTACCATTCGGTACTTTTCTTTTGTCAAGCCACGCAGTTGACAACGCACAACCTTTCAAGCCTGCAAAGCGAACCCGTGGGAGTCCCGCGAGCACCGTGCCACACACAGCTGCCGTGGCTGAAGATTCCGCCGATGCTGCTATTTACTGCGTACCGTAAAAGTGCTCGCGATCGCACGGGTGTCCCATGTGCACGTTCGTGGTCCATTGTTTCAGAGATCGATTGCTCCACATCCAAAGGGGATGCGAAATCCATCCCCTTGGTAGCCTGTTGGTTGTGAAGCAATCGAGGTTTTAAATCAAATCCACCGCACACCTTTGCACCTTTGCGTTCATTCGCCCCGCGTTACGGTATGAAGTGCCGTAGTCTGAACCCCCTTGTACACCTTCCGATCAACTTCTCGTGTTTCTCCGCCTCAAGGAATGGACGCTACACATAGGTTGGAGCCCTGCGTGAGTCAGCCCCTTGAACCAACTTCCCGCGCCCCCCCCCCCCCCCCCCCCCCCCCCCCCCCCCCCCCCCCCCCCCCCCCCCCCCCCCCCCCCCCCCCCCCCCCCCCCCCCCCCCCCCCCCCCCCCCCCCCCCCCCCCCCCCCCCCCCCCCCCCCCCCCCCCCCCCCCCCCCCCCCCCCCCCCCCCCCCCCCCCCCCCCCCCCCCCCCCCCCCCCCCCCCCCCCCCCCCCCCCCCCCCCCCCCCCCCCCCCCCCCCCCCCCCCCCCCCCCCCCCCCCCCCCCCCCCCCCCCCCCCCCCCCCCCCCCCCCCCCCCCCCCCCCCCCCCCCCCCCCCCCCCCCCCCCCCCCCCCCCCCCCCCCCCCCCCCCCCCCCCCCCCCCCCCCCCCCCCCCCCCCCCCCCCCCCCCCCCCCCCCCCCCCCCCCCCCCCCGCCTCTTGTTGAATCGACGTGCACACGCAGGTTGCAGCCCTGCGGGCGCACGCGGCGGAGAAGGAGAGCGGTATCAACATGGCTCGCGAGGAGAACGGTCGGCTGAAGGAAGGCATGGGGATGTTCCAAAAGGAGCTCGAGCGACTCTCCGCGGAGAACCGTATCCTCAAGCGTGCCGTCGGGATCCAAAACACGAAGGGCAAGGAGGTGGGTTTGAGTTTGGGTAGGGAAACGGCTGCCGTGGCGCTTTTTGTTGTGCGGGAGGATTTGCACCCAAGCGTTTGTTGGATTTGTTGTTGGAAGAGTTGTCTGCGGCGTGGTTATTGACGGTTGGTATGGCGGACCCCCTACTGCTGCTTGTGTTGGCTGCAGGGGATGGAGGTATTTGCGGTTTGTAGGCTGTTCTGGTGTGCATACGGTTCGGTGTTTGTTGAGCAAGCTGGTGGTCTCCGCGTGGCACTCTTCGGCGATGCCACCCCGTACGGACGGAATTCCAAGGTGGAAGAGTGAGGAGGATTAGTAGAGCGGTTGAAGACGGGAAGGAAACTGGCTGATTGGTGCTTGTGGGGCCCATGCGCCGACCACGGACGATCCAACAAGGATCAGCAGCAGCCCCGGACATGGCAGTAGTAGTCCATGCCGAACGTCGCAGGGGTCGCTCGCGCATACCCTCGGCGGACGCTGCGGAAAGGGCGGCGGCACAAGGAGTATTCCGTCATTCATACCCCGCACTGCTTCTTCTCAGCCACGACCACTCCATTCGTTTCCACCATTACTGACGAATGGATGCGATGCGACCCAAACAGCGCATCGCATCCCGTATCAGTCCTCGTGGAAAACAGATGGATAGCTCGTGGCTCAAGGAGCGTCGGCGTCAGTGGCCGAGAGGCTTTTGGCGCGGGCGAGCCCAGCGGCGACGTTGTTGAGGATCCTCCTCCATTGACATGCATGCACTACTATATACTGCGTCCATGGGCAGCAGCGGGGCGTGCAATCGTGGCTGGCAGCCGAATCATGTCCTCCAATATCTTGCCGGGGTTGACCGTTACTTGGTGTCGGCCCTATTATAGCAGTCGTTCACACTTCCCCCCCCTCACCCGCCTGGAGTCTGCCCAACAATTCTACGTTGTACTGCTACGGTTAGCCCTCCATGGGACACGTCACTCATGCCGTCCCCTCCGTTTGCTGCTTCCTCAGTGTTCGTGCGAAACGTAATTTTTGAGTCACCTTCCCCTGTTGTTTGTGTGCGTTGCCTCATTGTTTTTGACAGCTGGAGGGCCAGCTGCACGGGCTCCAGCAGGCGGCGGGGCAGGCGGCGGAGTACGTAAAGCGTCTCGAGCAGACGAACTACGCCCTCTCCGTGCGCGTGCAGGCCATGGGAAGCTCGGGAGCGAGCGACTTCATGGGCGGCCAGCGCCCCCCGGACGTGTTTTGAGTTTCCGCCGACGCCTGCGCGCTGAAGCGACGACGACGACGACGAAGATGTAGGGGGCGGGTCAGCGTGACGTCACAGAGGGAGTAAGGGACGGCGAAGGAGTCCTATCGTCGTGAACCGTTTCGTAACTGTACGGACAGGCTGGAGAGGGAAGACGCAAGCGGAGGGTAGAGTTGCTGCGACATTGATGCTCTTCTGCGCCTCGCTTGGTGTTTCTATATACGAAGGCAGGCGGGAGGTCCGGGGTGGGTGGTTGGTCGACCGTGAAGGTTGTATCAACCTCGAACCCCCCCCCCCTACCTGCTACCGCTGCTGTAGTTGAACAGTTATGACACTGCTGTTACCGGTGGCCTCGTGGCCTTTTTCTCTCTCTGGGCACTACACAGCGACGGTTTGATCTTCAGTAACGAGGAAATATTATCTCCCTAGGCCCGACGAATCGCGCAAGTAGTATGGTGTCGATGACTGCAGTGTGGTTTGGCGATGTTTGTTAGAACAAGGGCAAGTAAAACCATTGCGTGTGGTCGCGCGGAGGGTTGCGATAAGCTGCTGGTTCGAACAATTTCGCTTCTGCCCTTGTTGTCCTTACCCCGTGGTTGCTGGAGGGGGGGGGGGGGGGGNGGGGGGGGGGGGGGGGGGGGGGGGGGGGGGGGGGGGGGGGGGGGGGGGGGGGGGGGGGGGGGGGGGCTGTTTGGTCGTCCGTTGTTTTTTGATGCGGTTGGACGTTTGGTTACCTTGACGCCCAGCTCTTCTGCACACTGCTGGAGGGAGGGCTTCCTACAAGGCCGGCTCTCAACAGTGATTGAAAGAGCATGATAACTCCGACTGTTGTGTGAAGGAGAGGTTCCACATGGTGTACATACTTCCGAGTCCGAGAGGGCGGGGGTTCTTTTGTTGTTGTTGTTGTGTTGTGGATGCTCTTTTCCTTTTCACGCGTGTGCACAGCAGTTTCTCTTGTTGTGGGCATGCGTGTGTATTCGCGGGCTAAATAGTTACCATTCGCCTCTGTCTTGGATCGATCGCCTCTCCACCGTCGCCGTCGTCAAAGCACCTCGCTTGAGACGTCTCGTGCTTTTCCGTTTCATGTGATGGTTTGGTGGCATATTTTCATCCAGTTTTTTGTTGTTCCACAGCATGACCGGGGAGGGGGGGGGATGGAGGAAAGAGATCGGGGAAAGTACCGTTAGGGTTTGATGTTAGGTCTGGTTGCTCCGCGTGTGCCGTGTGCCCTTCGCAGATAGTTAACCTAGTGCATGCTCGGGAGATGTTTCATTTTCTTGTTGACAGACGTTGTTTTTTGCAGTAGCAACGTGTTCAACCTTGATGCTCGTCGGTTCGGTAGACCGCCGCCGGGGCTGCCACGCCCTCTCGGCGTGGGCAGCGCTATTATTAGTCGAGAATACGTCAGTGACAGTAGGTCGGGCACGGGCACCAAGCGTGTGTCAAGCCCGGTGGGTTGGACGGATGTGTTCGGTGTTCGCGGATGGAGTGGTTGCCGCCCATCGTTTTAGTCGTGTCTTGACGGTTGTTCACCCAGGAAAATTTGACGTACTACCTCTGTCCGAGAATATAAGCAAGGTTTGGAAATCCGGGAATATAAGCAAGCTTTCTCGATGAAGGTGTTTCAAGGTGTTTTGGACACCGTTTCCTTCCTATTTTTTTGCGTCAAGCTCGGATATGATAAGCGGCCAAGAAAAAACCAACATAAGAGGGGATGATAAGGTTTCATCCCCTCCCCGGAGAAACATTGATTTCCCTGCCATAGCGCTCAGTAGGGAAAAAGGGGTCCCATTTTTTCTCTCGTTTGCGGCAATGAATAGTGCTTTTTTCCTCGTTTTTTTTTCTTTGTATTTTTGGGTACTTGAACAACCTGTACAATCACGTTGCGAAGTATCTTCGATAGTTCTTTGGTGCTGACCGGGACCAAAGTTCCAGAGTGGCAAAAATCAGCAACTTCGAGGGGCCAAAATGAAGGGAAGGCGTTGGAAAAAAAAAAAAAAAAAGGGTTTTTCCGAAAAAAAAAGGTGTTTGAACCCAGGATCGAACTCACGGCCACTGAACAGCTCGCTTTCGCGGTGTATTTTGCCTTACGACCAAACCTTGCTTATATTCTCGGACAGAGGTAGTATATTTTTTGAAGTGGTACCCAGATGCTGAAGAGGCATTTGGGCAAAGCACTTGACTGATGGCTGTGCCCGCTTGGCGGGAAGAGACGATTCCACATACATGTCGACGATGTGCATGCGTATTAGTTCACGCAGATGTTTGTATTGTGGATTGCGCAGCGTGAACAACAACAGGGTTTTTCTAACGAACGGCGTGATACCTGTGAAGTCTCCCCTCAATTTCCATCGTGCAGTCTCTTCCTCTTCCTTGACGGCGCTCAGGTGAAGGACAAGGTCACGCACATCGTCGAACACACACAAAATACTGCCGCGTGGTGTGCGAAATGGTATTTGAATAAACCAAATCGATTTCCAAAATCGTTGCCGAAGTCGCGCGAGCACGACAGCTGTTCAACGCTTGGTTCCGCATGGCATACGAGTTTGTTGTGACCATAGATGGAGTGTCCTGTCTAGTGTATGTGCTGGGGCAACGCCCGTTCGCGTCTCTTCTGTCTTTCTTGACCACTGGCATGAACAGGAATATTATTGGTGCAAGTAGGTCGGCACAAGCAGTAATATTGAGGAAAACCTAACAACAGCAGTAGCAGTGGTGATTTTAACAGCCCCTGGCAGAGATTGTGGCGCGATTTCTCTCCTTCCGCGACGTGTTCCAAGATCCAAACCCTGTCTCGGTGACGTTGCAACACAAGAACAGAGAGCGGCAGACAGCGGCAGGGACCCTTGACCTAAGGGCCGACATCACACAGCAGGCATTCGCGGAAAGCGCTCCCGCATGTTTGCGCTCGCCGAAATGCCCCTCCTGGTGTTGATGAAGACACGTCAAGACGAATCGGTGCATCGACGTTTGTTACGCTTTGCATATGCCGTGTTCACCAAGCCTAACGGAATCCAACGTCATCGCCCATCACACGTTTCTCTCTAGTGTACTCCGCAAATAAAAGCAGGTTGCTTAGCCGTCGTCCTTCTCGACGGAGGAGGGCTGCAGACTTAACGCCACCCGATAAACGTCCGACTTCTTGAGGTTGAGGTCCTTGGAGGCCATCTTCACCGCGGAAGACGTGCTCATTCCTCCGGCCGTCAGCTCCGTAAGCCTGGGGGTAGCGAGACGTTTTGGCAACGGTCGCAGGGGGGGTTGCGAGACGAAAAACGAAAGACTAATCGAGGTGGCTCTTTTTGAGGATGCATGGCAACGACGGTAATTTGCCGGAGCAGAGATACATCGCAGGAGAAGAGCATATGGATATGGCGAAAGGACTACTCGCACAAACCACAGCAAATACGAAGTGCATGAAAAAGGGCCAAATGCACATCGACCAGTCCGAGCAGACGAAAAACAGAACGCAAACAAATTCAACCACGGGTAGGTGACGATCAAGCCGCCTAGGGTCTTCTTAGCAGGGGAACAGAGGGCTTGAAGGTGGCCTTTGCTGGCTTTTCTTTTCATTTGTCCAGCACAGACTTGTGGGCCTCTTCAAGGAAGCTACGCCCTATTTTTAGGTGGCAGTCACCGCAGCGGACGGAGTCGGCTTCGACATCGCCACGCCCACTCCCGTCACGTTCGTGTTTCTGGCCGTTTTCGTTGGGGATTCTTGCACGAGAAACATAGTTCTTTTCGTCTAGTACCGCTTTTCTTGACCATATTCTACTATTTTTCTTCATCTGGTCGGGCTACAATTATTTTTGGATGATGCATGCCTCGCGTGTGAACCCCAACGCCCGTACACTTCATCGTGAGACAAACCTTCAAAAAACACGCCTTCACACCAACTACCACCAGCAAACCAGCATCACAATCACTAGTACCCTCAGACCTCATCGCCTGGAACCGACATCGCCAGAGATCAACTTCACCTGGCCTCCAGCGCCTCCAACGCCCTCGCCTCCCCTCCTTCCCCCGCGCCCACCGCCGCCGCGCGAGGCCCGAGAACCACCGTGAACTCCCCCCTCGGGCCCCTAACTACCCCATCGCCGCCATAACCACCACCCCCACCGCCCATTCCGCTAGCCCCATCGCTGGTCTCACAATCACCATCTCGTCTTTCCCCTTCTCGCGATGGTACCCCACCACTTCCCCCGTACCGAGCCACCGCCTCCGCGAGCGTGCCGCGGAAGATGTCCTCGTGGAGCTTGGTCAGCTCGCGGGCGAGGACGACCGGCCTGCACCGATTGCGGTGTCCGGGCAAGCGGGCGGACGGGGAGGGGGGGGGAGGGGGGCGTACTCTTATGTTTTGC